AGGTATGAAAATATTTCCCTAAATATACACAAAGATATTGCCCATAAAGTACATGCCCATATTGTTTTTATCACTGCTGCTTACTTAATTAAAAAAGTCTAGAGAGCTGTACTCAACGACATTTCTTTTTGTATACACTTGTGTTTACAAAATGACAAAATAAAATCTGTCTAAGTCTGAATCTGACATGTGGAGAGATTTTTATATAACAAGCTGTTTTTTTTTATTTTTTTTTACTAGGAATTGTTGATGGCCGTTAATATAAAGCCTGGCTTATGCCCCATTTACACTATCCTCTCAAACCGATCCGTGCCGACTTAGAACCGAGCTTGGATCCATTAACGATGCTGAGCTTGGTTCTTACGTCCATTTCCACATCACGCTAGCACATCCTCGCACATCCTCATCTCCTATCGGAGGTCCACGATGTTAGGGTTACTATTATAAAATGAATGTGTGTGCATATGAAACATTGAAGAAAGGAGATGCTACATTTCTGTCCTGTGATTCAATCAGGAGGGTCATAACCTTTTATGACCTGCATCCAGTAGGTCATAAGGCAGAGTCACACTGTCTTATGACCTGCATCCTGCCAGATAATCATTACAGGGTTTTCTGTTTAAGGCCCGCCCTATTATCTAATAAACTGTTAATAAAAGGCTTTGCTGTGAAGGGATCTGTGAGAAAAGGTGCTGGTTGTGAGCCAGCAGTTTTTCTCCCCTGTGCAGAGGCTGACGTTGCAAATCCCTGTCTGTGTTTGATCATTTCGTCCTCTTAAACTCTTAAACTCACATTTCTCTGGATTTAAACCCAACATTACAGCTCTCAAGATGAGAATTATGCAAACAAAAATGGTGGCACCTATAACATTCAGGGACCTATGTGCCTGGATAGCGTCCTTCGCCCAAATTTCAATGAGAGCCTCGGTCTCTGCATCATCCCAGGTCACACCACACTAACCTGAGAAGCATCTGTGCTGTGAAGAGATGTGAGGATTAAAAAGCCGGACAGGTCAGAAACCCGATACATGAGTGAGCTGACTGTAAACAGGAGATGTGTTCGTCTGCTGATGCGTTTTTTTGTTATTAGAGAACTGAGCCACAGATGAACCGCGCCGAGCCCTACCGATGAACTAGAACTAGTTTAGCGCGGTTCAGTTGTGTCTGGCACGGTCCAGTTCAGCTGAGTTCTGTTTGCAATCAACAGTTAGCTCGGTTACCGTGCTCGGACCGATCTCATCACGGTTTCAAAAGGCAAGTGGAAATGGGGCTTTATAGTGACGACCTGCTGTGGTTCAGTCTGCTAGGTTCGTCTAATGAAGTAAAGCAGTTTGTCACATTCTATCCAAAAGCTGCTCAATCAGATCACTCAGCTCTTTTTCGTGAACTTTTTCCAGTTGACAGGAATCCTTTTGAGAGACCTTTTTCATCTCCTTTGCTTGTTTTAAAAGCATGTTCTTTACCTCACTGCGTCCGGTTAAACTTTTCACCAAGTCAGTGACTTCTTTTCTGTTATTGGCTCGATTTCTCTTCTCAGTGAGCTCCTTCAGGGCCTTTAGGATGTTATAGCCTTTATCGTTCTTTTTTTCACGTACTTTTGCCTGAGCTTCAAATATTTTAGTATTTTTTTCTTTGAAATCATTGAGCTCCTCAGCCTTTCGTCGAGCTTCCTCCTCATGTGTTTCTATTAGTTTGTCTAACTTATGCAATAATGTATATTCCAAATCATTTGAGTAAATTCCTTCCCTTTCTTCAAAATGTTCAACCTGCTCTTTCCGCAGTTTGACGTCTTCTTTCAGCGTTTCATAATAACTTTCTTGTTGTTCTGCTTCAACAAAACCTTCATAAATATGTTCATAAATATCATCTGATTGGTCAAGATTTGCGTAAAGATCTTCCATCTTAGCCTCTTGTTCTTCCATCGTTTCTTCTTGATCCTGCTGAAGTTTATTCTTTATCTGTTTTGTTTTATCATCTTCCATCTTGGTTGCTTTTTGATTATTTGCTTTCTCTTCTTCAATTTTTTTTTTCATCATTTCCTTCTGGTATGTTTCTTCTAGTTTCTTCTTTTCTCTCTCTATTTCTTTATCTTTCTCCTTGAGGATTTGTTTAATCTTTTCCTGTATGGCTCTCTCAGCCTCTTGCAGCACCTCGTTGGTGAAGCATCCATGTTTAAACACCATGGTGTCAATCTTTCTGATCAGCTCTATCACTTGTCCGCGGTTTTGGGTGTCACTGTTGTCAAACATATGATATCCTCCGCCGCACCTGTTGATAATCTTTTTGAAGGAGTGATCTCTGCAGTTTTTCTGTATAAAATCGTGGATGGACTGTTTATTTCCCTTTAGCTTATCGCCTCTGGTAAAAAGCATGATCGAATACTTTTCATAACCTTGGCCAAAACCTTCTTTAATGAGGTCTAATGTCTCTTTCTCCTCTGCTGATAATCTTGTTCCGATTGGTACCACCACCAGGAAGACATGTGGGCCTGGTGCCAGAAGGCTAAGACATTTAAGCAACTCTTGTTGTACTTCTTTGTTTGATAAACTGTTATCAAACAAACCAGGAGTGTCCACCACAGCAACAGGACGGCCGTCCACCTCACCCAGGCATTTCTTAAAGCACTTTGTGACTGATGTTGCACTAAAAGCTTCAAACACATTTCTACCCAGGATAGTGTTTCCCGAGGAGCTCCTCTCAGACCCAGACTTCCCAATCAGAACAATCCTGAGGCACTCATTAGTCCACTTGTTCTTACCTTCTGTAACAGAGAGAAACCAGGCCTCAGATTACTCAGAATTAAAAAAGAACATTTAACTAGAATCCAGGAAGGGAACAGAAATTGATTTATGAAACATTAGTTAACAGTTCACAGTAGTGTTGTAGTCAAGACCACACCATGAAAGACATCACAAGGTCAAGACCTGACAAGGGCAAAACTAAGACCATATTATGTGTTGGCCTTGTCTCAACTCCACCACCAAAGGTCTTGGCTTTGTCGCGACTCAACCACCGAAGGTCTTGGCCTTGTCTTGGTCT